CCAATAAAACCCAGCCTCTGGAGACAGGTCTGCCCTGCAGGCCAGAAGGTGATCAGGATGGTTACTGGAGGGTGATTTTAGATATGCAGGGACTCTCAGCCATATCTCCATAGTATGAGTTGAAGAACTGGCATGAGAACAAAACTGAATTCATATGGAGACACAGTTATCCTAGAAATTCAGGCAGGATCACAAATTTGAGGCCAGCCTCAGCAACGTAGTAAGACCCTGTCTCAAAATAAAACATAAAAAGGGCTGGGGATATGGCTCAGTGGTAAAGCATTCCTGGGTTCAATCCCCAGGACAAAATACACAGTAGGACTTGGGTGAGACCCAGCACCATCTTATGCAATCTGTCATTTAAAGGTAGGGAAACTGAGGCCCGGGGCCCGGGGAGGCGACGTGGCCCTAAACAGCCCCTTTGCAGCACCAGCAGGGAGGTGGAACATGGCTCAATGGTGAGATCTGCTGAAGATCTTTTCCTTTTCTCTTCAATTTGCATGTTCTGCTTGCTCCGACCCATGCGAAAGGGATGTTTATGAAATATTTATTGGTCTGTTCGCCGGTGGAATTCTGTACCCGTTTACAGACCTGTCCTTCCTGAACCCAATGAAAAGAACCAAAGTATCTATTATGCATTTTTTTGGATAAAAATATTCTCTTATTCTGTTTGGAGATATTCTGAATATAGTTGTTTATTTAATTATAGGTATAAAATATAGCTCATTTTCCATTTATGGGCTTGACAAATATATTTAAAAAAATTTAAGCCTGCAATAATATTTACTAGCAGGTTTTAATTATTTTAAGGTTTTAATTTTAAGCTTAACCAGTGGTAGCTATTTTTCTCTTATAGTCTTATTTTTCTTGAGCAGCATGGTTCCTTTGGATTCCTGAGGCCATGAGGCTTTTTTTTTTTTTGTACCAGAGATTGAATCCAGGAGTGCTTAGCCATAGAGCCACACCCCCAGCCTGGTTTTTCTTTGTTTCTGTTTGTGAGATAGGGTCTCCCTAGTTGCTCAGGGGTTCACTGAATTCTTGAGGCTGGCCTGGAACTTGCAATCCTTCTGCCTCAGGCTTTCCAGTCACTGGGATTACAGGCATACACCACTTGCCCCACAGTGCTCCAGGCTTACATCTTGTTTTTAAAAGAAACTTTTTTTTTTTTTTTTTTGTCAGGGAGAAGGTGGGAGGTACACCCTCCTTGTCCACCCCTTCCCAGCTCTGTGACCCGGGTTGAGTTTCCGACTCCTTCTGAGTCTCACTTTACTCCTCTGTAAAATGGGAATAATAAAACACAGTCGTTATCCTGTCGTGGTGGTGCATGCCTGTAATCCTAGCAGCTTGGAAGGCTGAAGCAGGAGGATGCCTGGGTGGTCCATCGGAGCTTGAGGATGGTGTATTTTTTTTTTTTTTT